AGATTGTATACCACATATGCTCTATTAGAAGAGCATCTCCAATAGAAGCACATGTACGGCAACAATTGCATTGATTGTATACTGATTTATTAAAATATGATGTATTTTGACCATAGAAACATAAGAGCATGCGCTACTAATAGAGCAAATACGGTATTGCATGCAACATCTCTAACAATTTAGCTGTTTTAGTTTAAATACATTTACAGACTAAACCAGAAACATTGTTAGAAAAGTTGCTTGCAATATTGTTGACTACTGTAAAATACTTCATTTTCTCTGGAATATATTTTCGCTGAAAACAGCTTTCTGGCATAGTGTGGATCTAATTTTCACTATGTTGTATTAAGGCTCAATGCAACGTATAGAGAAAGCTGCATTTTCACTGGAATTTATTTTGCAGAAAATTGGCTACAGGCAAAACAGGGAAAATAAAATGCCAGTGCAAATAAAGCATTCCACAGTATGTTATGTGACCAAAATAATAGACAAGATACATTCATGATTGTATGGAACCATGTCTTATTAAACAAGTAAAAAATAAAATAAATATCAAAGGAAGCTTAGAAAGAACTCTTGAGTGCTAAGAGACACATTAAAATTAATCAAAATTTAAGATTTGTTTTTCAAACAAGAAGCTTGGCAACTAATTTATGTCTGCTATAAATAATTTGAGATGCACAACATGAAAAAATGTGATTCACATTATCACAATTTATAATACGTACAGAAAATACATTTGATTTTTCATTCATGGTTTTTATTCTAATTAGTTCCAGAGCACCTCTGCGATGAATTCAATTTAAATCTGATTTTTGTTTAATACATTATCAGAAATGGGCTAATCATAGATAATCAATATGCATTAAACTAATCATGTCTGTGGATTACCTCAATGAACCAAATGAATTATTATACAAATTGAGAAATTATTATGTATAGATTTAGGTCTGTATATTGTTCCAGGGTGCACATGTACAAACTAAATTAGTTGAAAGCTGAAAAGTAAATTATTATAGATTTATATTATTATAGATATTATATAATTATTATAGATATATATAAACCTAAAACTAATATCAGGGGGAAAATCTTCTCTCTGGGTTCTCCACACTTGTCAGGGGGGAATCTCGTCTCGTCTCTCTATCGCGTCCCCTGGAGGTGCGGGATCGGGAAAGTCACTTATACTTTACAGTCAAATAAGACACACACAACGAAATACGTTTCAGCTCTCGTCTTAGTCGGTCAATCGAGCACTCTTATAAGACACAGCGCCCTGGGGAAAAAGTCCCCAAGACTATCGCAAGGCTGACCCAAGACTTTTTTAGACTGCGTCAACACGCGCCCCAAGGCTCTCCAGGACCTCTTCTAGACTCTCCAGGACTGCACTCTCTCTCTACTGCGTCTGTCGTGGAGTATTCGCCAAGACCAACTCAAACTCTCTTTATTCATTTTCAAAACTCTAACCAATTACAAAGCAGTAAAAAGACTCTAGGGCGTAACCTTCAATCATAAAGCCAATCACACTAAGTACTGAATACGTCATATCTTTTGATTGATCGTTCACTACATTAATAACTATGAATACCAACTATCAGAATCGCGACGGTTATCTGGTAATTAGTTCCAAATCACTGAGCCAAGTTCCGTCCAAAACTTCAAATAGGCCTAAACGATGACAGACATAACACAGCAATTCGCTAATAATCAGCTAATTAAGTCGGTCAACAGATACGCAAAAACAAATTCATGACACTAACTTGATCATCACATTGTGTTAGAGTATATATGTACCAAGATTCATTAAATTAAGATAAGTACTGTCACAGACCATCTACTAGTATGTACGAAGTTTCATTGAAATGTGATTATAACCAAAAATTATGATTTATTATGCAAATTAATATGATCTGATTTTAACCCAAAACTAATCAGGTCTGTGTATTGTCCTAGAACATCTATGTACCAAGATTCATTGAAAAGTAATGAAGTAATAGTACTTGAAATATCAAAAGCTAAAAATTGATTAATTAAGCAAATTAGGTAATTAATATTTCTCATATTTGTCTGTGCATCGTCCTATGTATCTATGCAAGTTTCATTGAAATGTGATAATTAGTACCTGAGATATCAGTGGAAAAGCCGAAAATTGACTAATCAAAACCTAATCAAATCTGCGTATTAGCCCAAAGCACCTATTCACCAAGTTTCATTAAAAACCAACATACGGTTCTTGAGATATCAGATCACACATACAGACAGGGTAACTGCAAAGACTCCCATTGTGTGCTTTGCACACAGGAGTCAAAAATAAATAAAATGTAATAAAATAAATATTAAAATAAATGAGAACATTTTTTTGTCAGTAAATGTTTTACATCACACTCTTACAGAGCAATCTCGTTCTGACCTACAATCTGACTCTCACCACCCACCTCACTTTCACCACCCATCTCACTCACACCTACTATCTCATTCTCACCACCCAGGCCAATTTAAATATCAAGTAAAATATCAAGTCTTTTCTATCTCCGTTGAAGATAATGAAAAAAAAATATTGGATATGATGAACTCCTAAAAAAAATTTGCAAGCAAACCTACTGATAAAAAAAAAAAAATCCAAACACATAAAAAAAAAAAAAAAAAAAATTGCCTTTCACTGAGCTGACCTCCCCCCTCAAAAATCAAATGGTCCAACCCTAAGACATAACCCCCTGTTAGCATGGCGGAATCGTTCTTGTATTTCGGATTTGCAAGTAATTTGCTCAAAGAACGTATAGGCGTACGCTGTCCAGAGGCAAAGTTTCGCACCATTGCCACTTTAAAGGTGAGTGAGTGTACATAGGCTTTGCCTGGCTTGCTGAAACGTGACATAAATGTACGCGGTACTAGTGTGCCCATTCTATAATGTATTCATTGAGATCATGCAACTACATGTTGAGGTTAACCTTATATACAATACGATTAAGTCACAGTCAGTAAAGAATTACGTGAATTATCGTATGTGAACTGCACTGCATTCTAGATGGGAAGACGACTATGTTTTTCTTTGCAAAAAACTTTGATCAAAATTCCAGGGTTATCTCCCAGCTGTGGGGTTTCCGAACATGCGCAGATGACATCCGATGATTCTCTTTTTATCTCCATGCCTGATCTGAGAACATTTACTCCAATTTCTGGCTACGTTGTGTGATGTGGATAGGCATAGTATACTCCATTATTTATTTGGGGATGCCCGGTGGCCGAGTTTAAGACAAGAGCGTCGATTGAGTCACTTACTTGTTCGACCTTGCCGTGTATTCGGTGTTATATTCGATGCTAAGTTATAAAATTATGTTCCGGAGGGAAGGAACTTGAAGCGTGGTTACGTGATTGTGTACTCATACAATTCACACAATAACTACATTGTCGTGTACTTGTGGATGAATCGAGTCTGACTATTGGTATTTTCCTGTCTCCATGACCTGTTATTTGAAAAATAAATCCTGACATTTATACCGAATAATGTTACGGCGTTGATATACGAACTGATACTCTTCTGCCCATGCCACCATACACCAATTATTCTTTTATATTTTTTATAGGATTACAAAGTCGTGTTTAGAAATCCATCTACCCCAAACCATGAGGGTATTTGGCATGGCGCCACTGCCACTATAGTGCCCTCTACTGGTGGTATTGTCTGGGGTGCGGTTTGGGAGATTGGCAATGAATATTTAGACGCATTGAACAGGTATAACTATTAATAGACCACTTTCCCGGAAATAGAAGATAATGTGTACCGCATGCGCGCGCATACCGTGTTGGGGTATAACGTAAACTTGCACGCGTGATATTGTGCTTGCAACAAAAATAAGATTCCCTTCTATCGACTATCAGCAAACTTACATGTTTGTATTTTCTGCCATGACAAAGTATGCGTATGTTAGCATCTAATTCTCGCTACTTCCGGGAAAGTGGTCTATGGACGAGGCATTATTTGTATTGGGTGGCTAGACCAGAATAACAAAAATGGGTTCACATTCTGAGATTGACATAGCGGGGAAACACTTTTATAGATACACTCTATAAGAAAAGATTGCATATTTGCTCAGCGTATGGTGACTTGCCCAACAATCCTAAGCTCCAGACCCGAGCAGAAATGATGGTATTCCCCTAATCAATATGTTCGTAAGTTACCTCAACATTTCATACCCCATAATCAGTGCAGCGCCCTTTGTTGGACAGTTGATCAACCCCACGTTTAACTATTGGAGTCAAATGTATTTTCAGGGAAGATTTCGTGGACAAGGGAGTTTTCAGGAACTTTGAAGTAACCGTTATGACGCCAGATAATAAACCACTAAAATGCTGCTGCTTTCAGATGTGTGACCCGCTCCCCGAACCTGGCTTTCCGTCACCCCATTATCTCAGTGTGATCGTTGATGGCGCTATTCAAAGAGGATTGCCCGAAGATTACATCGCCGCGCTCAAAGCAACTCCAGATAATGGCTATCAAGGAAAAGTTAATGTCATGGATGATATTGTGAAAAATAAGACTAAATAATTCTGATTTCACTGTTGTGTTTTGTTTATTATAAGTAATTTCTTTTACTGTCACAAGAAAGTTCTGAATTGTGATTTATTACAACTCTCAATGAATTCACTGCCAATTACATTTAATCATGCTGCAATTATCAGTGTAGTTTTCTTATATGCATTGTAAAGTTGAAACTATTTCAATTAAGGCAAATGTAATTATTGTACCTGAAGAAAAAAACAAAAACAAAAAAACTGAATGGATTATGAGTTTGCTGTCGTTATTTTGATCAATATATCGGTTTCCTGGTGCAAGTTTTAATATTATAAGATGCAATATGGACGAAAACATATTTTTTAATAATGTAGTTTGATTCGGCACGTTGATGACTGAACTACATTGTGATTCACCTAAACTAAAAAAGTGCATTTGTGGCGCACTGTATACGTATTCGGTGGATGGAAAATGAAAAACGCCGTGACTCGTACTCCTATGTAGGGTTCTTCTATGTACTAAAACACTACATGCATGCCCGCATGCGTATTGGAGAATTTCATGATGAACGAATGGTCAGCTATGTGATACAATAACAGTGTTTTCAGTTCATAGTGAACTGTAATCTAATGTACTCATCGGCAATACTAAGCAGTAGTATTACAATTATATGTTGCACTCAAGACTGCAAAATTCACTCTGAACAGATGAGTAAAGGCAGAGGCGGCGGCTGCTTTTTTGACTGTGGGGCGAAGATTTTATGTATATGTCAACAAATCGAGCGCCGAAGGCGCGTTTTTACGGGGGGGGGGGGGTCCAGTGGCATTCTCCCACGGGAAAATTTTGAAATCTAGACCCTCTGAAACGCTGTTTCCTGCATTTTGTGGAGCAAGTTTTGATGGTACACTTAGGTATATTTCTCTTACGTTTTCTGGAGATGGGTGTATGACTGTCGTGAAAATAGACTGACCCATGCGACATTGAGGGGCGGAGCAAATGCCGCATTACCAACGGGATCGTAAGGATTAATTATTTGCAAGTGCTTTAACTACTAGTATTTTCTTGTTTTCGTTTCAGATTCAGCTTGTAAAATCATGCTGTGGGTTACAATTCGTTAGACACCGACATTTGCGGTGGATTTTAGTGACAATTATAGATGAGTGTTTCAACTTATTTTATCGTGGGGGCGACGCCTCCACGACCTTTTTTTCGTAGGGGCGACCGCCCCACTGCCCCCACGGTGCCACCGCCACTGAAAGGAATATTATTATTTTGGATAACTGGTTTCTATAAAACACATAATAATATGTCAAGATGTAACGTGTATATACCAATTAGAGTCGAATTAAATTATGCCAAGTTTGCACTACTGAGACGATATTGCGCATATACATGCAACATTACGGAACCCTGGAAGCTCATTAATATATGTAAATTTTATGAAATATTTTAATAATATTAGGATTCATATCAATAATAAAATTTGACCTTTTTTTATTCCATTTCACTGAGCAAAATTACGGGATATGAATAATTGTTTCCCCATAGAATCCAGTGCAAAAATGAAAATGCATGTATTAGTCATTTTCCATGACATTTCGGACTCTTGAAACATTGTACTTTGACATCAACTGTCTTTTCATGTTCTATATTTCAGTGGCATTACTAATATATATATAGAATAATATAAAGAATGACATATCATCTTCGTCCTCAATATTCGATATTAAAACGCTGGGATGACAATGCCTTCACATACGTCAACTTCTTAGACTGGTAGTCACTCTTACCAGAATTCACAAAATAACCTTCAAATTAACTCAGAGCTCGACATGACGCGCCCTGTCAGCAAGGATCTATAATAAATTCGCGATTTTGCCATGATAAACACGCCCTCAATAACTTTTGAAAGTATTTCATTTGTTTTTTAATTTTACTTGTTTGGCGCCCCCAATGGTCAATCGAAATGTTCGTTCGTTCTTCAAAAAGCACTTCTGTGATTGGCTATTCGAAGTTCAGCGGCCATCTTGAACTGTATTTGCATACTCGACTTTACATTCATGAGCACGATAAACATTACGGAGAGTACATAGTTTCAGTATAAAGCGTTACTTTTTTTATACGACGACTCTACGAGCTCTTGAGCAAGTGAGAATGTCAGGTACGTATTTTGATACACGTTTCAGTGATGAGGTATTCAGGTATTTAGTACAAGGTATCTGAATGTCGTTATTTAATTTCCCTTCGACAAAATCATAAAATGTCGTCCGTCAAGATAATCGCGTCGTCTGTAATTTATTGCCCACAGAATGCGAGTGTCGATATTTATACATTAGCTACCGTATACCGCGATCGGATGTCGTTTAGCTCGCACAGTGTGATCTCGTATGTACAGACTGTATAAAATTGGAATATTTGTGTACCGACTTTCCCTTCCCTCAAATCATGGTTACTAGAGCCGTGCTCAAACTAATGCGTTTGTAATCTTGGAATTGGCACACTACATACAGCCAGTCCTTCGCAACGCCGGTGACTGTGGGCTATATGGCACACGTCCCACGGTTCCAATACAAGGTTGCATCCTTGAATTTATATAGTGCGTCCAACCGAAACAATTTACAATTGAGTCATATTTGATATTGGCTGCTGTCATGTACGTCTAATTGTCGTGCGAATCCGTTCATAAATGTAATATTATTACAAATGTATCGAGTGGGTCACTGAAAAGTCTGAAGGGGTTTGTAATCAGCTATCACTGAGTAAATACCAAACAGTTACGGATTTAGACCATTCCTACATTGGCCCTATGAATGAAAATTTATCTCAAGGAAAATTTATTTTTTGGGGGTCTGAAAATGTAATAAATCTACATTTATATATTTTCTTGAATGTTTACAGAATGCTGTTTAGTATCCCATTTTATTTTCATATCTACAAGTACAGAGTGGATCATGTGTTGATTCTGAAACCCTAGTTGTCACCGTACTATCAACTTGCATGGGGCAATCTATCTAAAGCCTGTGTAATTTCTTTAAATCATATTGAATTTTTAGGCTTTGTAATATATTTTTAGCAAGTATGGGGCCTTCGGGCTGACACATTGGCTTTCATAATATTTTGTCCTCAGAAAAACCTTAAACTTACAGTACTCCAGTATTACTATCTTGAACTGAATAATCAGTACTATCAATTAAATCCTTCTGCTTATCTTAATATTATTAGTACCTCCAAGACCAGACCCCCCTGTTGTTGGGAAGGTAACTCACCACAGTGTTGAGCTATATTGGGACAAAGCGGGTGAAGGCGAGACAAAAAAAGGAGATGGAAGAATACGTTTTTCGATACAGGAAGATGAAAAAGTTGGAGGATGGGGCAACGTTTACACGTGAGTCTTGTGATTAATAGTGTGATTATATCCAGTGTTTCATGTATGTCTTTCTTTAAATCAAATCCCAATGTAGATGGATACCACATATGTTTTTGTTGTTAAGCCCCTATTGGTTTTATCTACTTGGGAACTTAGGTATTTTTCATTGCTGTAATGGCCTGTGGTCACTTGACACATAAAACAAGTCCATAGTTACAGAACATTAGTGCAAAACTTGCCTCAGGGTAACACCCCCCTATAAGAAGTCAGTAACTTTTAAAGCATGTAGATGTGTACATCAATCCAACTTAACCTGGGTGTGAATTACTATTTGTTGAGAATGTATACACTTAAAGAAAGACTGCAATCAAATCTGGAAGGTCAGAACTAGTTGAATAGTGATATCTTCTTTACAGTAATTACCCTTCACTTGGTACTTACCATACTCATCCGACTTAATGCCCATGTTCAATTATCTTTTTCCTTTTTGTATTCATCAAGTAAAATGCTGAAACTACCGATAAACAAACTGAACAACAAATCTTTTACTTTGGGTATATGATATTTCACTTGTTAATATCAGAAATGATACTTATTTTGCATCATTAAGTCAACTATGTTGATTAATTTACCCATTCTCTAGATATCTATATTAATTCATAACAAACATTGAATTTGAATTCAAATATCTCTTTTCATGCCCTTAATAATAAAATAATCATTTTTTTGAAATTTTGACCTTGAAATATTATACTTGATGCCTGCAGCACTGAATCAGACGGCCAAATGTTGTGCCCTCAGAATCAAGCCCTGCTATGTTGATCAATCAATCTTTGAAATCTAAATTTCAAAAACTTAACAAATTTGTGAAATTGTTTCACTTATAGAAAGTTACTATGGTGTATTCAACTAATTCTTGTAAAGTATGTTCTGTATGTGTACCTAGTATAGTGTACTAGCTGTCTCTAATAATAATGATGTCAACTCTTCATAGATTCTTGATAGTAATATTAATACTAAGAACATTATTGACATAAAGTCCTTGGAGTAATTTATCATTTTCCGTTCACTAGGAGAATCATGCGTTATGCGTGAAATCAAACGTAAAAACAGGACAAACAAAGATCATAGTGTCGTAGTGGCGACAAACATCGCGTGGGATTCGACAAACGCGAACATATGTTGGAGGGCATTTCCATGCTTAATAATGTGCTGTACACATTTGATGATAAACAATTTCGATTAAGTGAGGGTATTTGAAAGCAATATTCCTCTGTCAAAGATCGGCCTGTCGATGTGAGCTACAAAATAAAGAAATTCGAGTTCAAAATCAAATAGTTTGATTTTTGCAGCAGACGTTCGATGCGCGTCTTTCATTCATCTCTCGAGATCTCGCAGTTGAACGGAAAATCACCTATTAACTCTTCTTTTCCATTTATTTTTATTAACCTTTTGAATACCAAATTCTTTTTACGCTCAAAATGAAGGAAAATTGTTCACATTTTCTGTAATTTTCACAATCTTAATTTTGAATCAAACTGACCAAATCCGACATTACTTTTAACATTTTTTGTGAAAAAGCATACTACAAATTTGTGGTTGGTGCCTGAAGTTGACATTGGTCAGAGGGTTAAAGCAGCAATATAACAACTTTATAATCCTTGGAGAGAAACTCACAAAACCAATAAAAAGCATGGAAAAAGATCTGATGTTTTTCGTTTTCGTGATTTTGTTTTCTTCTGTGATCTTCAAACTTGACACAGACTTGTCGTAGTTGTAAAGCAGCGTGCTGACTTGTGTAACCATGTCAGTGTTTGAATGCTGAGTATTGTAATAAGTTCATCATTGCTCAGACATTTCATGATTGTTAAACTCATCCCATATCCCACTTATTTTCTGATCACTAAAGCATCAATGAGCCAGAGGTCAGATCCGTTAAGAAAACAGAACGAACTATGCCATTGACAACTGGTCATTGTTATTTGAACAATGTGGTTGTTAAGATATACGATTATGTGGTGTAGGCTTTGACTTTTCTCATTCATACTATGCATTCGGCTAGAAGAAACTGTTATTAAACTTTTTTTTTTCTCTCTTTAAATTGAAATAGTTTCACTTCCATAAAAAAGTGGTTTGCGTTTATTCATATTCTGCAGTAGAATCATAAATGTATGGAATGATTGCAAGATATATTGGAATAATATATTTTTACTGAAACTTTGACTGTATTTCCAAAATAACTATTCTTCTAGCACATACGGAAATTCGTGGAATGAAAATTTTAAAACTTATTTTTTGAGACTCCCACCATAAAATTTGCCCATTTCATTCATTTTTTTAACTTTAAATGAGGGAAACCGTTCAAGGATCCACTTTATATATTGGTTTTATTTTGACACCTGTGTGTTAATGAGTTACACTGTGCTTGGCAACAGCTGATGTACCTCAGGTATGCATTGATCTTGACACGAGACGTGTTCTTATATTTAGCAATTTCCTCCCTTACTTGTTTTCATAAATAGTCCAGCTTTCATAAGTGCAAATTGAAATCTTTTATTCCTGTTCCCATCTTGTGATTTAACTGCAAAGATAATACTCATCTCATCTTTAAATTGATAGTCGTATAGCAATTTTTAAATTTGCTGTGACTTCATTTTTATGGCTAATACGTGTATATACACATGTGCTTTCAAGATGCGCTTCTAATAGAACAAATACAGTGTATTACATTTGTTCTATATTGCTTACTACCAAAATGTTATATGAATCATTTTCTTTTTGAATATCATATTTGCTTTTTTAGTAGTTCATATACTTTAATATGTAAATGACAGAAGTATGTATGGTCAAACTAACTTGTATTTTAATAATCTAGTACAATAAAATTGATGCAATTTCTTTGTTCAAGTGCTCCTGTTGGAGATGCGTTGCTATATGTAATAGACCAAATATGGTAGGTGAGCTTAACTCCACTTTAATTTATAAACTCGTAATGAATCACTCATAGGAAATTTTCATTATTGTTCGCCTAATTGTTATATGTAAGTTTCTGTGTTTGTGACCACACACTTGAAATGGAAGATGGTTATGGTTACGTATGAACTAAATATTGTCTCAACAAATACGCCTATTGTTATAAGAGCTGTGTTCTCTATTGTTCTCTCAAAATTAGAGTGTGACGACAACAAAATGATTTATTAGGTACGTATCGTTGTTTGCCCCTGTGGGTGATATTGTCATGATATGACCATGGATCTTTATGGGATTTTATTTGATCACATGGTATTGTATCATGCAATGCTTGGGTATTGTGTGTGGCCTAACTTTACATCGCTATTGTCAGAATAGTTATGTGAAGTGGTTTTAATCATACAGTAATAATGACATATGGATTGAAGTTTCTTCTCAACTTTCTGACCTTATCACAGTTGATTAAAACTTTTGTATTATTTCTAAACGCACAAGACAAATCAAGACATGTGTCCAAATGGATGTATGCAAAAATTCAGAGTATTATGACATAAAGCACTTTGTTTGCTGTTCGCAGTGTCATTGTGAATGCTAATAAACCCGCTTCACTCAAAATTGGTAGTGATTGATTAACAAATTCAACAATAAGTATTTCCGTACATTCATTCTACTATGTCAAACTCAGGTCATTCCACCATTCTGCAGCACGACAAAAGATACCATAACAATCAATAGTGTACGGTTGCTATATGAATGAATGTTGAATGTGCTCTACTTTAACCGAACAACAACACATTTCCATGTCGCACTCACAATCAGTTCCAAAGTGCCGGATAATTTCAAAGCTATATCATTTACTATAAGTCTATTTGTATTTACAGACTTGTTTCCCACAATTATTAAGTTATAGTTACAGTCACGTAATCACACCTTTGCGTTGACAACTACTAACTATTTATAACTTTTCCATAGATTTATTTATTTGCTTGGTAAATATTTCTAGGCGACCCCTTATCAACTTAACATTTGATGTTTTGTGAATGTGACTTTAATTTGCTCGTTGCAGTTGTTCATCGTGTTTAGTAATAGTACCAAATGCCATAGCAACCATTGTCAAAAGTCATACCGTAATATAGTGATTTGAGTGAATTTGAGAAATGATCAAAGTTGAGTCCTTGGTTAGTATTTTTTTTTCTTTTTAAACAACACTTGTGATGTCACACTAGTGTATTGTGTAGTCATTATCTGGGGGAATAATCGCCAAGTAAGGCAAGGACAGGTGGAGGTAGTTCTAGGTAGTAGAATGCACCTGGAAATCCCCAATGATGGAACGTTGTAGTACAACTTCCTCCTCGATTTTAGGAGTGATTTTCTTGTATTGACAATACCCATAATCAAACCATTTTTTCTTTGGATCAGTCGAGTAGCAGGGTGGTCAGTCTACTGGCTGAGCTAAGCAAGTGATGGGTGAGGAAATACAATGAGTGACCTATGATAAATAAATGCACGTATCAGGTGTGTTGTGCCATGTACATTCAATTTTCTTTTGTTTCACTCATCATTCCGGTTGTTCATCTACACAAAAAAGTCACATAAAGCCTGTATAGACTAATATGTAAATGAGTATTGATTATTCAAATAAAAACTGAGTGGTTCTAGAAGTGTCTTTCACAATGAGGGGTGTTCTAAATACCATACTCATCAAAGGGTTCTCAGTTCCAAAAATTAAGGAGGTGGTTGCTTAGTTGAGCACTTCGCGTTAAAAAAATTGACAATTTTAGTTCACTATATTACAGAGAATATTATATCTCTTTGAAGAAAATAAAATTGTGAAGTGAGTTGCAATGTCATTGATTCCCACAACACTATTACAATATGGAACAAAATTAGTCACAAAAAATACATTTTATTACAATATAATCTGCGTACCATCAAAATTTACAATGTTAAAATTATTAGGGTCAAAGTCTTTATCATTATCTTCATTGTCGATAATATGCAAACTCATGATGCATTTAGCAAATTCTGCCATTATGTTTTCTGCGTGA